CAAGACTTTGTCTGCACTTCAAATGCTTTGCTGGTATAGTTGTACTGACAGTACACCCTGGTGCCAGCATCCTACGGTGACAGAGGCTTTTCTGGCCCCGCCTCACCTTGACGGAAGCACTCTGCGGTCTGCCTAGCTGCTCTGGCCTGGGAGTTTGCTGATGGCTGGGGGAGATGCATGTAGATTTTGGTTTTCGTTCCACCCCCTCTCCTCCAATCAGCAGAACTGTGCTGGCAAAGCTTTGCCATGTAGACCTGGCTGTGGGGTGGGTCCCAGCGCTGCTTTGCATCCCTTTCTGTTCTGTGGCACAGCACTTGAATTCCTTCCATTTTGCACTCGATCAGCCCAACCAGTAAACGCTGCAGTTTCCGTTTTCTCCTTAAAAACCTGCTACTCAAATGTTGAAACTTTCCAGCCGACCTGTGCGACTGGGATGCCCAATTCCCATTAATTTTCCCCAAACCCTCCAGCAGCTTGAAAGTCTAAAGAGCCTGTGAGGTGCTGAGAGGGGTTCGGTTCTTGTTCAGATCTGCACCCTAGTGCTGGGTTCGGCTCTGTCGTGCTGATGTGAATCCAGAGTCCCTCCGTCGCTGACAGTGGAGTTATGCCAAATTTACACTGCACAACTGCAAACAGAATCTGCTTCTGGAAGACTTAGAGACGATCTCCCAGCCGGATGGAATCCGTTAGCAAATGGGCTTATGAAAATTGTCTCAATATACAAGTGCCTTAGTCAGTAAAATACTAGCTCTTAGGGGAGAGTTCTTCTCCCCCCAGTGATCCTTCCCCATTTTGTTTATAATTTTATTCTACATGTGTACATTGTAAATCGTAAGTAAGCGAAATGTGTTACCTTGGGAGTTTGTTGTCAGGAGGGCCAAAGAAAAAGCAATTGGTTCACACGGGAGGCCAAAGCCTCCTTGAACTTTGGTTTACAAGCAACATTTCCCACTGCTGCGAAGCCAGCCCTTTGCTGGGCCTCTCAATGTCTTTCTAACACATTCCTAACACAGTAACTTGTGTGTATGTGACTTGCTCGTAAACACATGGGCAGATGCTTGGAGCTTGGCTAACAGACTACAATCCAATCATGTTGCCGAACTTTTCGTTGCCTTGATCTTGTGTAGAGTGTTGTGTGGATTTTCTTTGCATGCTTGCCATCCAAAGGGTGGTCAAAGAGAACGGCTTCTTGTCTAACTCCCTGGAAGTACGAACATGCCACGGGAGATTGGGTCAGAATTCCCAGGGCTGGGATCCTGGTAACAAAAACTGGAGCCCTGCCTGTAATTTGCCATATTGGGAAGCCTGAACTAACCTCATCCTGGGAGGCACGGAATATCCTCCACTCCTCTAGGCCATTCTTAATGTGGCGTGCCGGAGGGGGATTCGTAATTCCAGAAAGTTGACTTGATCAGTGTGCTGCCAGAACCGTTGTGGCTTATTTTTGGAATCACAGCTCTATTTTTATAAATGTTTACATTAGATTTGTAAGGAACAACCAATGCTTTGGAGAATTGTTAACCTGGACTTAGCCAACTTTTAATTTTTGTTCGGCATCATGTTGTGTGGGATGCTCTGTGTCGTCTGTGGGGTTCTTTGCTGTTTTCCTTGCAGGCGTTAAATAAATCCTCATTTTGTGCTGGTTACCTTAGTATGCATTCTTAGGGCGTTGGAAGAAAATACTGAATGGGGATAATTAGATCTCCCAGTACCCCCTCTAGAATACTCCAAAGCAGCATTGGGCAACCTGGGCTAGTGATTGGACCAAATGAGCAGCCCTCCATCACAGTGGGCCACAAGATTGTCATAACCAAGATGCTCTCCTAAACCAGGTGGTTTTGCTCCCTGCGCTCGGGTTCCTGCATTTGCGGCGTGTGACGACTGGACCGTAGCAGGGCTTGGATTGGCTGCAGAGGGGGCACCTGGCTCTCGCAGTCAGTGTTCTGCATAATGAACGTGCACCTCATTCCCTGTGCTCTTGCTATATGTGCATGTCGGCTGGAGAAAACCTACGTGGACCGAAACCAGCAACCCTGAGGCTGACCACCTGCACTGGGTATCCCTCCTACTGCCCCTCTTTGCACTGTTAGTGATTGGTTAATGGGAGCAAATGGCAGAGGTGTGGGGAGAGGAAGGGGGGGACCCTGTTTCAATGTGCATCTGCTTGTTTGTCTGACTTCTGCCGCGTTCCCGTGCCATGTGCGTTTTCCCTGAGCCCAAAACACACGTGGTTTGTAACAGACAGGCTACGTGTGGCTAAGCACTGTGCTTTTCCCTGGGCTTGTAAATTGGTGGATTTTGTATTTTCTGCTTACGAACTAGCTCTAATTAATTTACCCCCCAGGATGAGTGCAGGGTTAGCAATTGAGTGTGTTCCAACACTAATACGGTGGCTTTTGTAACTAGCTTGCTTGTGCTACGCTGGAGCATGAGTTGTATTGATCTCCACAATACGTGTGTATGCGCTACCCTTTCCCAGGGCTGAATTACAGCACGCTGGAGCAGTCAGGTTAAATAAAAGTCAAACCATTTTGCTTTTTCTGTCTTGAGCTCCCGCGGAACGATCTGAGCTCTCGAGCGGAGGATCTGAACCCATTGGGTGTTTTGTGGGATCGGATCAGAACCCCGGCCCTCTCCTGCTGGGCCCCGTCTGTCAGCCTCATCTGCACAAGAGGAGCCTGCAGCAACTCTGCTGGCAGCAGGGACGTTCTGGCTAGAGTGGGACAATTTTCCCTCTAATCTTTTCCATCCACGTGCAGAATAAATTTGATGTGCACAGGGGCATGGGCAAATGTGCACCACCAGGAGAAACAAAAACCCAGCTGTGCTAATCAGCCGGGCAGCATTGGACTCTCCGGAGCGCCCGCACAAGTGCCCAACTTACAGGGAATTCTGGATGGGGGTTGGAGACTGCTGCGCGGGCTGGAACACGTGTCCCTCCCTCCCTGTTCAGCTGTGCACGCTCTGTCTTAGGCAATCTGTTTAGGCCGTGCAGCACAGAGACTGGGCTCGCTTGGCTATGGACATGGCTGCAGAAGCTTCCTCCTGTGGGCCGAATGCACAGAGCTCCATGGAAAAGAGCTTCTACTTAGACAGCCTCCGCCCGATGGTCCCTTTAATTTTTTTCCATCCATGTGGGGAATAAGTTTTGGTATGTGCATGGAGGTATGTGCACCACCAGGAGACACACTTGCTGCCAGCTGTGGCCCCTCTACTAATCAGCTGAGCAGCATTAGAACCTCTCCTGGGGAGCCAGCCAAGTGCTCAGCTTACAGGGAGCACTGCCCCAACTCCATGAATGCACAGCACATGCTTCCACGCACTGGGGAGGAGACCAGAAGGAGCAGCGTGTCCCCCCCCACTTTTGGGGAGGTGCTGGTGAAGAGCTTCAGGAGAACAGACCCTCCCTCCCCCAAGACACTAGAGCAGAAATGGCCACGGGCCCCTACCTGAGTGAGAAAAACTCCCCCGGCTCTGGCCTGGCTCCTACCGGAGCAGCTGGGACTGGCACCCTTGCTGTCCCGTGTGATGGAGCGGATCAGGCAAGCTGCCACCCGCTCCCAAGACTCTCCTGCGTGAGAGAGGGGTGGCCTTAACCGCTAGGCGCTCCAGTGGAGGCAGGAAGTGTAATGTCAGCTGCAGCCCTTGGGTGAAGGGCCGGGGTGGGAGCCTGCTAAGAGGGAGGGAGGCTGGGGAAGGCAGGCTTAATGTAAGAACAGCCAGACTGGGACAGACCAACGGTCCACCTAGCCCAGCGTCCTGTCTGCCCACAGTGGCCAATGCCCGGTGCCCAGAGGTTAACCAGTTCCTGTTCGCAACCCTAATAAATGAGGGATGTGGGGGTTACAGCAGCAGGAGTGGCCCGAGGCTGGGCTAAGAGGGAGGGAGGCTGGGGAAGGCAGGCTTAATGTAAGAACAGCCAGACTGGGACAGACCAACGGTCCACCTAGCCCAGCGTCCTGTCTGCCCACAGTGGCCAATGCCCGGTGCCCAGAGGTTAACCAGTTCCTGTTCGCAACCCTAATAAATGAGGGATGTGGGGGTTACAGCAGCAGGAGTGGCCCGAGGCTGGCTGCAGC